CTTGCCCCCCCCTCGGTGTTTGTGTATGGCGTGCTCGGAACTCGCTGATCGGCTTCACCTATCGCCCGGTGCCTTCGGCAGCCACCGATTCGAACCCGATTTCGGGTGATTTTGGCACCCGCCAGAACTTGTCTTCACTCCAAAAAAACTCCTTGATCTACCGCCTATGCGCCAATCAACACAAAGGCAATAGTTTTGACGTAGAACTATTAGTTGCTGTGTTTTAGACGGTCTGGAATCCTCATGATTTAACGTAATTCGTAATCAGCTCTGAGAATTTAACGTAATTCGTAATCGGCGGCGAAAATATGGCGTAATTCGTAATCAATACCCCCCCTTGCAGGCCCTCATTACTAGCATCGGATGCTTCTTCGTTTTGCACATGCATGGGGATAGAACTACAATCCAGGGATAGAAATAGAAACAAAACAATCTTTCTCTGTGTGTGAAGGTGGTAGATCTAGAATTGAATGTTGTAAGATTTCATGGACATTGTTTTGGTGTTAATTAAACCCCTACATTGCATGCCCAAGGAGGTTAAAATACTGAGATTCACTTTATGTTTACGATAGCATAAGTTCACGGTCTGAGAAAAATGGAGTTGTTGACGGAACTACCGTATATGTTCACTTTGGCGGCTGGTGCAGAGAAAAGAAAGTCAGTGAATTATTGTTAAAACGGTAATAATAAGTTTGCAGTACAGAAGTGCAAAAACCTAACATTGGGTTGGGTGTAAAAAAAAAACAGTGCAAAGAAAGAAAGTCGGATAAAACACGCCAAAACAAAGGCAAAACCCAAACCTCTGCTTGGAGAGTGGTATCTGATCATCCCACTCCACATCTCCCAGTGGGAAGCAATTGGATTATACTTTTTATAGCATAGTTTACCAGCTGGTTCATTACTACAAACAACATGCCGTCCCAGGGCAAGCCTATGTCGTCCCACTACAGATGAAATGGGCAGGAGAGAGCCATATAGTTGTTTGTTTCAAACTCTGTTAGATGTTTTCATCATGAAACATTATACTATATATATTTATACACCGTTCTTAACATTTTTGTGTATGTATATACATGTACCATCCAGTTTCTTGCTCTGGGCTGAACTTAAAGCCCATGACTCAGAGCTATGGAGAAGAAAGGTCTCTGATACTCTACATATGCTTTTAATGCTTTTAAAAACACTTCAGTTTTTGTTTGTTTCTTGACCTTCATGACCACATAGGTTTCATGATAAAGGCAACTTTTTCTCTGCCATTCTTCTTTTTTTTATTCTCACAATCACATCAGTTTGGGGTTCCCAGAGGATGTCATCTTGATCCATATAATGAATTCAATATGGCCTTAATTGCGGCAAAGCTGTCTTTTATTCTCGTTGATTTTAAATACCCCAATTAAGTTGAGTCCCAAGGATGCTTAAAACTTTAAAATTTCAAGTCTTTAAGACCCGTTTCTCTTTCCATTACAGAGCTAAGATCAGAGGTTGTTGTCATGGCAACAAGAAGCAAAGTAAAGCGTGGTGATGCCAACAGGAGGGGCTTGAAAGGGGGACCCAATAACAGCTTGGACACCCCTGCAGAGGATGTGGGTGGGAAGAAATGCTACAGGTGTGAGGAGTGCGGTAGGCAGTTCAGTCAGCTCAGTAACATGAAGAGACACATTCGAATCCACACAGGTGAGAAACCCTACAAGTGTGAGGAGTGCAGCAGGCAATTTCGTCAGCTTGGAGTTCTAAAAGCTCACATGCGTACTCATACAGGGGAGAAACCCTATAGATGTGAGGAGTGCAGCAGGCAGTTTGGAAGATTAGGTGATCTAAAGACCCATATGCGTACTCACACCGGGGAGAAACCCTACGGATGTAGGGACGTGTAGCAGGCAGTTCAGTCAGCTGCGTAATCTACAGAATCATATGCGCACTCACACAGGAGAGAAGCCCTACAGATGTGAGGAGTGCAACAGGCAATTTCGTCAACTTGGATCTCTAAAAGCTCACATGCGCACTCACACGGGAGAGAAACCCTACAGGTGTGAGGAGTGCAGCAAGCAGTTTGGAAGATTAGGTGATCTAAAGACCCACATGCGTACTCACACCGGGGAGAAGCCCTACAGATGTGAGGAGTGCAACAGGCAATTTCGTCAACTTGGAGCTCTAAAAGCTCACATGCGCACTCACACAGGAGAGAAACCCTACAGGTGTGAGGAGTGCAGCAAGCAGTTTAGAAGTTTAGGTGATCTAAAGAGACACATGCGCACTCACACAGGAGAGAAGCC